CCATGTATGTCATTTTCATCTGGCATGTGCTTACCCATCGTCTCCTCCTTTATTTCATACTATAACATAAATTACAAAGAGAGAAACAAATACTGCTGTTACTCTAACTACTCTAACTACTGTTAGAGAAACAAATACTGCTTAAACAATCATGTAAGTGACATAAAGAGTGATATAAAAGATTGCTTGATTGAATAAATCTCATGACATACCAAAAAAGACTACACAACCCACTTCTGCAAAAGTTAAGCTCTTACAGGATGCCCCTCTAAAACAGCACTACACACAGAAGCCTCCTTTTATGAAAGAAAAGAAGAAGGAACATTCAAGCTCTACTACAGATCTCCCTCTGTTTGTTTTACAATCATATTGCTGCCAAGAATTAGGTAAATGAGACAAAAGGTTACAGACGGCTTCACTGCTGCTATGTGAAGAACTCTAAGAAAAAAAAAGTAAAAGAAAAAGAATGTAGCCATGTCTGCTGTTTCTATGCAGCAGAAGCTGGCACTGCCATTAACTGCCAATATCAAAGTCATCCTGAGTCACTGGAACATACACGGATCCAAGCTCCTCATTACCAAATTCATCATAATCCAGTCTTTGTTTGCACAGACTGCTCCAGTTTCCTCAGTCTGCATCCTAACTTCTACTCCCAACAGCCTTTCCTCTCACTGTTCACTGCACTCCCTTGTACACAACAGTGCCTTGCCACTCCTCACCTGGCCTGCATGTGTCTCAGACAGCTGCCCTGCCGAGGTTCTCCTCTCTGCCCCCTGTAGCTTAACTGTGCTTTTTCCTTTTGCCCCCTTTCACAAGAACAGCCCTTTCTTTAAATTAAAAAAAAAAAAAAAAATGCAAAGAAAATTCCTAGCATTTTTCTTCAGTGGTTGAGGGGCAGAGGCTAGGAAACAAGTAATTCCAATGCCAAGTCAGCTAAGCAACATTTCCTCTCAATGGCAGACTTTCAGTACATGCTCTGAGTGCTACCAGATTGGGTGCCAGACCGTGCAAGCCCTAACAGGTCTGGATTGACCTGAAAACCCAAACTTTCCATTAAGTACTTGAGCTCTCTGGTTACACACCCCTGCTTTTCTCAGTAAAGTTCCCTCAATCATCTCTTCCTCGGAGGTGTTATTTTCCAAACCTGCAGTTCCTAGGCTAGGAATACTACACCAAGACAAAAAAAAAAACCAACAAAAAAAAAACCAGACACCAATATTTCACACCTCCATTTTACTAACATCCATATGAGTACAGAAAATAAAGGAGTTGTTCTGCCAGGATGATGGGTTTGGGATGAGCAATTCTCATTTCAAGTGGAAAAAACATTTAGTATTTGGTGAATTTGTTGCCTTATTTCCATTCTGATAATCCAAGTGATTTATACAGCTCTCCTGTGTGCAGACTCACCTCGTCTTCTTTCAACACAGTGTTTGATGTGGGTCTCGCAATTATGCTCAGCTTTGTTTTGAAATAACTATTGCCTGCTACTAAGCTTTCAGATCTATTCCAGAATTCTAATTTTGCTAATGAAAACAAGCACAACTAATTTCATTCAAAAACTATTTTAAAATGTAAATCTTCAGTTTCATGGAGATCTACTTATTTGTATAGAACAGACTGAAAAAGCATCATAATGAAATTAAAATATTACTATTCTAGTAATAGCCACAGCGGGGGTGGAGAGTAACTAACCTTAATTGCAGCTTCTCTCAAGGCTTCCAGTCTCTGCCTACTGCTTTCTTTCATATTTACAACGTCTTTGTAATCGCCCTGTAGAGCTCTCTGAAGGCCGTGGATCGCCTGAAAGACTGAGTTTTCACTTTCGTTGAGTTCCTTTTGGAAAATTTCAAAGGTGTGCACCTGAAAAAGTTTCTCTTCATCTGACAGCCCAGCATCTTTCTCAACCGCTCTTATAGCATTTTTTAATTTGTTGAGCACAACATTCTTCTGGCGAAGGAGACCAGATAGTTTTCTGCAGCTCTCCATCACCCACTGCTTTCGCTGAGTAATAACAGCTCCTTTCCCACGGTGCAGCTTGATTGCGTGCTTTACTACATCTTCGTGCTCTGCAGTATTTCCTAACTGGCCACAAAGCAGTGAAGTCAACGTCCATAGGGAAATAAATCCAGGCACCTTCATTCTTCAGTTTTTACTGCTGATGGGAGGAAGTGATAATCCACAACTGCTCAGAGCTTTCTGCTACATGGTTTCTGCATCTCCAGGACACACAACGTGCTGTAAGACAGTACCAACCAAACATGGTCATGTTGGGGTGCTGGATAAACAAATTACAAAGCAAACCAAAAACTTCATGTTACACTGCAATCTTTTATATAACATAGATTGCCTCCTTCAGTCAATGTTAGCAAAATTAGAAAAAGCCCAAGGTCACTGATAAGATTTTGTTCCCTCCTTGCCTATTTTCTAGAGATTATCTTGTTTTAAAAGCACTGTACAGAATGCTTACTCATCTTACATGGTATTAATTTGTGCTTCTTCTTAAAGAAAAGTCATTAAAAATACTATGCTGTGATGCCATTGGTTGTTGTACTTCAACCCAGCACCAGAACACATTCTTCCTTTACATCAGTAAATCTCTCCTAGTTTTTATCTTAAAAATTTGTATCACATCCAATTGTTGCTTATGCAGTCTTAGAAGCACCAACACATTCAATTACATGAAACATAACAAAACAAATCTTAACTGGAAGAGATTAAGTTATACATTATGCATGAGCAAGAAACATTTCTACAGGAAAAAAGGACAACGGGAAATGGCTTCAAACTAAAAGAAGGGAGATTAGATTGGATATAAGGAAGAAGTTTTTGATAATAAGCGTGGTGAGGCATTGTTTGCCCTGAGAGGTGGTGGATGCTCCCTGGAGACACTCAAGGTCAGTCTGGATGGAGCTCTGAGCACTCTGATTCAGCTGTAGGTGTCCCTGTTCATGGCAAGGAAGTTGGACAAGATGGCCTTTAGGGGTCCTTTCCAATTCAAACGATTCTAGGAGTCTATGAAAAAAAACATGAGCAGGGCTTCCTGGACGTTTAGATCACAGACCTCAAGGCTGAATGGTCTGGAGGCATTATTTCAACACTAATTGGTCCTCAGGATTTAAAAATAGACTTACAAGAACACTTGAAGTGATAACAGCATCATTCACAAGATTATCTCCCAGAAAGTTCTTTAAAGTCCATATTTAAACTACACAGTTTATCCAAGCAGGATAAAATTCAAGAATCCATTTCCACCTCTCAGCACCCACAAGAGAAAGACCACTGACGTTACAGTCAAATAGCCCACAATATTTAAAAACAAGCCAACTCCACACAGCACCTCCCCACACCCAAACCGTGTGTCTGAAAGCGTGAAAGATGCTGCTCGAACTGCAGCGCTCAGGGCCGTGCTCACCGCCCTGGGATCGTGACATCCACGCAGAAGAACGAACCTTCGCAGCCGTCCCGAGGCGGTCTGTTTCCCGCCCGCAGACACACGGCGGTAACACCCAACCCCCGGGCCCAGCCCTTTCTCGCACCCACCTGAGAGCGGCTCGGGGACGCGCAGGGGAGGAAGGGAGCGGCGAGGAGGAGCCGCGAACCCCCTCCCTGCGTCCCGCGGTACGGGGGAGGCGACCACGAAGGGAAAGAGGCCGCTGCCCGCCCGTCCACCCCCACCACACTCACCTGCGGCAGAGAGGGACGGAGCGGGGCCGGCAGCGGCCGGGACGCGACAGCAGCATGGAGCGAGAAGACAGCACCAACAGCCTCGCCCGGCCCGCAGCGGCCGCCCCTTCGCCCTGCGCCGGGGACCGAGCGCCGGCGCGGCGCCTTTAAGCGCAAGGCCGCACGGGAAGCGTAGTCCGGACGTGCCGAGAGCAATAGGACGGAGCTGTTCCCTCCCCGTGCCGGGAGCTCCGGGCGCGGTGCACGACTGGAGTTGTAGTCCCCGTTCCGGCCGTACCGCTGCCGGCAGGGCCGCGGGCGCGCAGCCCCGAGCTCCGCGTTCCTCTCCCCGCAGCGCGGCCGCTGATAGGCGGCGCCGGCCGGGCCGCTGCGCGCCTGCGCGGGAGGTGCTGGTGGTAGCGGCAGTGGCGGCGGCGGCGCCGGGCGGTGAAGTTGGTTAAAGCGCCGGTGGTAAAATGGTAGGTGGCAGGCGCGAGGGAAGCGGGCGGCGGACAGCGGCGGGTGCGGCGCGCTCCGCTCCCCTCCCCTCCCCTCCCGGCTCCTCGCGCCCTGCGGGCGTTCCTCCGCTCCTTTCCCCGTGCCCCTCCGGGCTGCCGGGTGCTGCGCCATGCCCGGGCGACCCGAGGACGGGGCGGCGGGGGGCGAGCAGCAATCAGGAACGGCCGCTGCGCGCGGGGGCGGCGGGAAGGTCACCCGGGGCGGGCGCTCGGGGCCGCAGCACGGCGCCGCGTACCTTTCCCTTTTTTGGGCTGCGCCGCCCGACGCCGCAGAGTCCCTCCGCCGCGTCCCCGGGGCCGGGCCGCCTTCGGGCCCCCGAGGCGAGGGGCTGCGGATACTGCGGTGCTGCCCCACGGCCTCCGCCGCTGCGTTCCGCGGCGGGGCTGCTCTTCGGGGGCGCGACGTCCAGAAACGCCCCCCCAGCCTCGTAGAGAACGCGTGAGTTCTCCGTCTCACGCCGTCGGGAACTCCCAGGGCAGCGAGAGCAGCGAGCGGGCGGCCGCGTGTTCTCCTCGAGTGACCCCGCTGCGTGCGCTTCGGCCCCTTGTCGCGGGGCTCTGTCGGCACTGCCCTCGCGGCACCTGGTGCGCACGAGGAGGGGTTCGGTCCGGGGGTACCTTAACCATTAGCGAGAGCTGAAAGCTTGCTGAAGGAGCCGATAGTAGCCGAGCAAAACGCTGTTGAGATTTTCTTCTCTAAACACGTTGTAGTTATTTTCCCTAGTAGGGTTGTTTTTTGTTTTTTGTTGTTTTTTTTTTTACTTTCCCAAAAAGCTGCTTTCCATCTTTCTGCTTATATAAAATTGAGAAGTGTTAAGAAGGACTGAAGCTCGTACCTTGTTCACGTGACACATTTCTTGTGTCGGGTCCACCTGCAGTGGAGATGTCCCATCCATGTGTGTAGGAGAGATAACAAGGGTGCTGAGAGCTGCCCCAGCCTCTGGTACCGTGCTCCTCCTCTGATACTTATGGGGCTGGGACATTGATCTTTCTATTTTATCCCCTCATGCAGTATTCTGCTGTATCTGCCTTAGCAGCAGGACAACTGCAGACAGCTTTCTCAGGTTACTTCCTTGTTGCACCTGACTGTGTGCAGTTTAACAGAATGAGGAAGTGCTGGAACACAGGGATTTAAGTTACCTTCTCCTCCTTCCATGTTGACCCGTAGTACTAGCAGACTTTCTCCCCATAAAATCCCTGCTCCTACCTCTTGAGTTCTCCAGAAACATAGGGATGTGGTGTAGATATAGCTGCTGCCATGAGCTAAGAGAAACTCCTTATGGGCTCCTGTGTACCACTGTAGCGGGCTGCTTTGTTGATTTATGTATTAATAGCGTAAATATCTTTTTTCCTTTCAGAGTGCATTGAAGTTTTAGGTCATGGTTTTGAGAACTTTTTAGTTTCATTATAGCATTCAACGCGTCTCTAGCACGTGCTTTATTTTCACTTGGCCTTCTGTCTTCTGTTGGCAGAAGTTATGTAAAAATGGGAGAAATACTTCTGTCTTCTCATGTGATCATTTAAAAGAATGAAACTGTCCATTAGTGCTAGGAAAATGTCAGGAAAACCACTAGGCAGATTTCTGTTTTCTTCAGTTTACAAAGGACTTGTACAGAAGCTGAGCTTCTGTACATTGGGCCTCTGTGGTTCCTTGTGTTTATAAGCAATGGATGTATTTTCAGAAGATAGCCATATTGTTATATGATGAAATTTGTGTTTGCTCATGATACAGAACAGAAAAACGCTCTTGCATATGTGAGCAGTAAAGCAGGAATACAAATTGATTACTGCCAGAATTTTTGCTGTTAAAAATGTATGTATAGATGCTGTCATTCATATTTGCAGAAGAAAACACTGTCTTTTTAACTGCAGGAGAGCAAGGCTTTTGTCTTCCTGTAATTGTGAAGTGAAGGTTCAGCAAGAAAACTAAAACCTTTTAAATATAGACATTAGTAGTAGAATGCTGAAACAAACTTCTGGATTAGCTTCATTGACTTTCCTGCTTCTTTTGCATCCCAAAGCATAAGCTTAAATCATCTCAGAAGGACAAGGTCCGCCAGTTTATGGCGTTTACTCAGGCTGGGGAAAGGACTGCTATATACTGCTTGATGCAGAATGAATGGAAGCTAGAAGTGGCAACAGACAACTACTTCCAGAATCCAGATTTGTACTACAAAGAATCCATGAAGAATTCAGTAGACAGGAAGAAATTAGAACAGCTGTATAATCGATACAAAGGTAAGGCTTGTTTTTCTTTTCTTGTTGTGGGTTTTGTTGTTGTAATTATGTCACTTGGGTGGTATCACTCTGGCTCATCCCTCTGCCACTCTGAAGGAGCTCTAAGGAAAGACTGTGAACTTCTGCTATTCACTTTGTGTATGCAGCACTGAGATAAGAATGAGAAAAGTGTGATTTTTCCAGTAGGAATTTATTTTGAACTCTACGGGAGTGTGTGCCAAAGTTGCGTATTGAACACTAAGAGCATTTAAAACCTACTGTGTGGAAATCTTGTCAGCTGCATATGTGGAAAGGGGAGTAGAGCTTATTATGGAACTTAGTTGATTTACTGCTGCTGGCTGCTATAAGATACGTGGATGATGTACTTTGTGCAGCAAAAGAACACACGTGATCCTGTACTAATATTTGGAGGAGTTTAGTTCAGATATACTAGTATTTCTTTGCTTTGAAATCAAAAAGCATTTCAGGTAGCATTGTAGCTAGAAATCTGTCTGAACAGTAAAATAAAAACCCTCAGAAAATTAGTCTTGAAGCTCCATCCTTGTTTTACTCTTTGCACTTGCCTCTTCCTGCAAAAATGATGCGTCTGTTTGGATGGGCTTGGTAGGAAAACAGGGAAGTGGGATAAAGGCAAAGTTGTTTCTTCAACAGTTGATTTTTTTTTTTAATTTTTTTTTAACTTCATTTCTTAAAAAGAACAGAAAAAATAAAAGGAAGAGACAGTAGCATAAGAACATATGTGATCCAGGTAATGATGCTTTTGGGAATGTGGCCATCTGATATGAATGCATGCGTTGTTCTTTACATTTTAGTGCAGGGCATGCAGGAAGCATCATTACAAGCTGCTGCTGGGATCCATAAACTTTGTGTTCTAAAAATGAACTCTAACAATTAATCAACTATGATTTTATGTACTTTTCCTAATTGTAATGTATGATATGTTTCATATACACTTTATCTTATCATACTATTTCCACTCTTTCTACTCTTGAAATCATACGTTCTACTTTGAGCATAGACTTTCTTCAATACTTCATTATAAGGTGATAATGGAGAGACAAAGAATCAGAGAAACTGTAGAATTTGCTCTGTGTATGTGGAAAAAGTCTAATTAGTTAACCACTCTGTTCTGTGTCTTAGAGATATATATTTTACTGTTATAATGTATCTGTATATACTTGTGTTTTGGTCTTTGCATATTGATCTCAGGGATTGCTTGGTCAAAAATATACATGCCAACTCACAAATGCTGTAAAGAATATAGAAATTTGGTCAAAAAACCTACAAATATTATTTATTAGCAGTATTCTAGCAATAGGAAACTGTCCCACTTGTGTCTGTGAAAGAAAGCTCAGCCAGTTATCTGTCTGGCTAGCAGCACACCTCTGCAATTCTAGCCCAGATCACACTAAAATTATAGACTTAAAACTTTCCAAAGATTGGAAAGAATACAATTAAGGGTTTGATTCCTTGATTTCAGCACACGTGCATTCTGCTTTCAGATCTTCAGTTACTCTCAAAATATATAAGAATGGCATTTTACCTCTCTTAGAACTGCATCAGGTTTAGCTTGAGGCCCTGTTATGCTGAGGCATTGTTTGAGCCATGGTGCGGTAACCTTCCTAACACATGAAAACCAAAAATGCTTCAGTCAACTGTGGTCTTTAAACAGTTGTAGTGTGTTTTCATCTATTGCTATGAAGAAAAATTCTGTGGGCTTACTGGGTAGGTTTTTGTTTGGCTGGTTAATAACTTTACAACATGCTAACCAGTCAATACATTGCCTTGTGATGAATTTACCAGCTTTACTGTGTTGTGGATTCAGTCAGGCTTATTTCTTTCTGTTAATTCATATATTGCACAGAGCATGATGGAGAGAAGGTATCTGTTTTGTTAATGTTACCTGGGGAATGTAGAAAATAATCACAAGCCAGTTCTTAGGGAAGCTAAGCAGAAAACCTAATTCACCTACTGTTATTCTTCAAGGTACTTAGAACTAGATTTCAAGTGAAGACATTTGTGAAGCTTAAGTAAAACCAAAAACTTGAATTTTGCAGCGTATCAGATGTGCTGATGATGACTATTGTTCTGAACAATTACAGTGATCCTTTTGTATTTTCAACTGCAGACCCACAAGATGAAAATAAAATTGGCATTGATGGAATACAACAGTTCTGTGACGATTTAAGCCTGGACCCTGCCAGTATCAGTGTTCTGGTCGTAGCGTGGAAATTCAGGGCGGCTACTCAGTGTGAATTCAGTAAAAAGGAATTTGTAGATGGCATGACAGAGCTGGGGTAAGTATCCGTGTCTGTGTAGTTCAAAATGCAAGGCCTGAGCTCAGTTTCTCACTAGAACATTTGAAAAGCTGGTTGTAACTGTGCTGAGCTTAATAGCTGCTAAAGACCTGTAGTGTCCTGTCATCCTGACAGCGGCACATTACTGCACAACCTTAACGATGGGCTTGGGAAGGCAGAAGTAGAATGATTCTTATAGTACAGCAAGGAAGAGAGATCTTGTAGAATCATGGAATATCCCAAATTGGAAGGCACCTGTGAGGATCCTTGAGTCCAACTCCTGACTCTGCATGGAACCACCCAAAAATCAGACCTGATTATATCATTGTCCAGATGCTCCTTGAACTTGGCAGCTTGGGTCTGTGACCACTGCCCTGGAGAGTCTGTTCCAGTGAGGTTTATATGGTCAGCATTAAGAACAGAATATCATCTATTGTTGAATTCATAAACTCATGAAGAGACTGCAAAAGCAATCCTGCTTTGGTTGTGTGCTTATGAAGACCTATGTATAATGTTCCATCTCAATTTGTTTAGTAAAGGTGTATGATTGTTCATATTTTTAAAAAGGCTTTCCAAAAAGACCTCCTCTTTTTAAGGTAACTATTGTTTTGTTTTGCTCTGAACTAATCCTTAAAATAACCAGCAGTAAAATAATGTAAACTCTTTTGCAACAGGTGTGACTCCACAGAAAAACTAAAAGCTCTATTGCCACGACTGGAACAAGAACTGAAGGATCCAACAAAGTTCAAAGATTTTTATCAGTTTACTTTTAACTTTGCAAAAAATCCTGGACAAAAAGGTCTAGGTAAGTAGAAAAAGTGGGGAAATATGTAGAGGCAGTGAACTGAATTCCTAATACATCCAGTAAAGTAGTTGTGTCATCAGTGATTCTGTAGTAAACTTGTTGTGGATCATTTTTCCTGAGTTGTCCTCTCTTCTGTTCTCTCAGTTAATCTCTTCTTTAATATTCACACGGAACAAATAATTTAATAGAGATTTCTGTTAGTTTTGATGTTCTCTCCTCTTGTCAAAGCAGTTCTTAGACCTCTGACATAAAATTATGTTTAAAAAAAAAAAAAGAAAAAACGAAAACTGAGCTAATGAACTTGTGTTTTCTGTTTTGTTCAGAATAAAGCTGAAAGAAAATCTCATATGAGCTTGAAAAGTGAGAGAAAACTCTGGGCAGAAGTTATTGTTCTTTTTAGAATTTTTAGCTTTAAGCCACAGCTTTTATGTGAAGTTTAAAAAAAAAAAAAAAAAGTTATGGATTTAGTTCAATGCTAGTGAATAGAAATAGGTGTGCAGTGTAACAAGTATTAGTGGAGTATTCTCTCTAAATTCTGAGATTTATCCAGATCCGTGTCTTGTATTGCTGTAGTAAAATGGATATGTTATTTACATTCAAATGTTTTATTCTCAAAAAATCAATATTTATAGCATCATTTCATCATCATTGTTCTGTTTGTGTAATGGTTAAGAGGAAGTTTCTCTCAGAGGGTGGTGACGCACTGGAACAGGTGGACAGTGATAGGACAAGGGAGAATGGTTTTAAACTGAGACAGGGGAGGTTTAGGTTAGATGTTAGGAGGAAGTTTTTCACACAGAGGATGGTGACACACTGGAACAGTTTGCCCAAGGAGGCTGTGGATGCCCCATCCGTGGAGGCATTCAAGGCCAGGCTGGATGTGGCTCTGGGCAGCCTGGTCTGGTGGTTGGTGACCCTGCACATAGCAGGGGGTTGAAACCAGATGATCATTGTGGTCCTTTTCAACCCAGGCCATTCTATGATTCTATGAAGTGTTTGGTTTCTTTTTTGCCTAGCCACTTTTCTGTGTCTGCATCACTAGATAATGTACATTAATGAGTAGTCTTTCTCAAAAATTGTTGGAAAGTAAGTGAAGTGGAGGAACAGAATGCTGATTTGGGCTTTCTCAAACAGTGGTGTCTGTTCCTCATCCTTTAATGAGAATTTCTTTGAATAACTTGGAATGCTTTTAGTCAGTTTTGAGTTTGCCTTTATCTTTTGCTGCAATTTTTTTTCTCATTACTCTTGTCATTTTTTCATGGGTCACATGCCACCAATTCAGACAAAAAGGAAATAGTTACACAGTGGTTCTGAGTAGCTGGTTGGAATTCAAGTTCATCAACTAGTTGTTTGTTTTCTTGCCTCTTCATGATGAAGTCTAGTTCTATCAGACTGCAGGAAAAAGTTATGGTGGAGGCTGGAGTTTCTGGAACACCTGAAGAAATATTACAAATAGTTTCCTGTTTTAATTGGCTCTCTTCCAGCTTGAAAGTCGTACTTGGGAAATACGTCTAAAAAGCTTTTCACCTAAGTCTGTACAAAGAGAGGGGAGGGAAGGCAGCCCAACCCAGATTATGGAACTGAATGTACTGTTTATTTGACATGAGGAGGAAAAAGGAATCTACTTGTGTTCCACTACCCTTCTTTATTTGGTACAGAGGCCCTTTCATTTGTAAGTGTCTTCTCTGTTTGAAAGGTGCTTCTTAGCAATAAAACACCAAAATGTCGTCTTGCACTAAAAAAGTAAAGTTTTAGTGAGATAAACTATGCAGTGCAGAAAGAAAGTGTAAAACATGCTGTAGAAAAAGTTGATTGAAACTGTTACTGGTGTCAGGTTTGAGGAATTATAATAATTCTAACAATACTTACAATGTCTTAATTTCAAGTGATGCCTAATTCACAGTAACTTGGGGATGGTTTTGGTTAAGCTCTGTTTTGCTAAGGTGACTCTAGATATTAAATCTAAAAGCTATTTCTCTTATTTCTGTGGAGATGCAATTTTCTGTTCAGTGTAAACTTGGACTGCCATAGGTTGAGTAGAAAAAGGATGCGGGCATGCATGTTGTCTAATATGCATTTTTGGGTTCTTCAGGTCACTGATAGCTTAGACAAACAAAAATTGGTTTGGACATCAACACCACATTGGTTTGGAATTGCACTTTTCTCAAGAAATGCTGTTAAATTCAGTGAAGCAGATAAGTGGACGAAAACAAAATAGACTGGTGTTTACTTTATACTTCTTTCTCCTCTGATTATTCTGAGAGTGATTATTGTTCTCTTTCAGCAAAAAGTTTTTCAGCAAGTTCAGTCAGTTGCCCTTCATAGAAATGCTTTTGTGCTGAGAGCTCTGGTATTTTCAGTTGCTTCTAATACAGGATTAGGTACTTTTTTATTGCATAGTGTATATTCTGTACACTTTGTATTTTCTGTTTGTTCATCTTTACTCGTTCTCTCCACAATTATATGGAAGCATGTGGTATTTGAGTCCCTATGACTGCAAGACGTATTGTCGAGGAGATGCAGGAACATGTCTCATTGACAGACTAAGCCCACTTCTTTCTTATTCCAGTGTGGAGCTGGTAGAAACCTCTATCTAACTCTATCTAGATCCTTTTGAAGTGCAGATCTCTTCTTCCTTTCCACGTGCAGACTGGATGACATACAGTGCTGTGTAAACATAGATGCTCCTAAGCTGTTGTCCTGGCCGCTTTCCTTAATTTTTTTTTCTGATGATGTGCTTCAGTGACAGTGTTTGCCTGTCCATTTCCATACCTTCACATCTGAATTAGGCTTGAAGACTGTAAGCTCAGTAAGCTTACAGAAAGAATAAAGGTGAATAGAATTAATAAAATGGAAATAACAAAAGGAATTATTTTCTGCCTTTCAATTGGGAAATATTTTAATGTGATTTCTTTTTTCTGAGGCTTGAAGTATCTACTGCTTCCTCTTACTACATGGGGAACTACAGGGAACTAAAACCATGAAGTCTGGTAGCTGTTGCACTCATTGCTTAGGGCAGTGACCTGCAGATGGAAATAACTTCTTCATTCTCAGGTATACATATGACCTGTGAATACTCCTATTTGACAAGTAGTGTCAGTGACAAACTGATGCTCTAGTAGTGAATCAAGTTCTTTGCTTGATTTTTTTTTTATTTTTTTTTTTAATGTTTTTGATTACTGTAAAAAAAATAAAACATCTGTTGTTCACTGTGTTCAATGGTGTGCAAGCAAGACATCCTGCCTTGCCTCTTCAGTTTCAGTAATTATCTGCAGAGTCTGGGGTCTAATTGGTGTTGATCCTTTGGCTGAAAAAGTTGGGCAGCCACTGCCTTTTCTTAATATATTCTTAAATTTCTGACAGCAGGTCTTGTACATACATGGCAGTGTTTATTTATGGTTAGATTTTTTTCTGTTTTTTTTTCCTGTAAATTAAATCTATGTTCCTGAGTTCTGAAGCTCAATACATACACATCTACCATAAATACGTATACAAGCATTTTCCTACAGTTAGTAAAAGCTTCTTACGTATCTGGCATATGTATGTCATCCCTTACTCTCTAGACTGAGTTAAAAACAAATATGCTGGTAATTAAAGTAAACAAATAAATCTTCCAAATGATCTATTATTTCCTTTGCAGTCCAATTGATCTAACTTTCTCATCTTGTAGGTAAGAAAAAACTTAGCATTCCCTGTGCCTTCGATATTTTGCTCCTTGTTTTACAACTCAATATTGTTTTGTTTTTTTTTTTTACATTCTAACACTGACAATATCTGCATGCTGTGGTCTATTATTTTTCTTGTTTTCTGCAAAACTGCAATACACTCTCTTGATCCCTGTCTTCAATTTTTGCAGTTGATTATTCCTACTGGCTGTATTGCTTTGCACTTCTCCTTAATGAAGCGCTCCCTGTTTAAAGTATTTTGGGGTGTTTTGGGTTTGTTGGTTTTTTCTTTCATTTTGTGCAGATAACTTTGAATTGTAATCCTGTGCTTTACCGTGTTATGCTTTATCTAGGTTTTGTGTAAGTGGTAGATTTAATTAAGATTTCCTTTGTTGTATCATCTGAATTATGTGTTGGACACTGTTAGATACAGGATTGACTCCTATGTATGAGTCATGTTTTCCTAGTTCGGAAAAGAACAATTGAGAATCAATACTTCAGTGTGGTCTTCTAGAAGCACCTTTGACTTCTGTGGAGTCTAAAGTATGACAGGTAGCAGTTTGAATTTGTTTCAGTGTACTGTGATGAATTTTGCCACGTCCAACTTTGCTTTCAAAACTGAAGTTCTAGAAGTTCTTTTGGGGATTACTGTCAGTCTCCAGAGAAACTTTACCTGGGGCGTACCTCTGGGGGGGAAGAAAACAAACCAAAGTGTTCATATGTCACAAACATTTCTTTTCTAGGAGACAGCATCTTTTATTTATTGACATTATTTGTAAGGAAGGGAGTAGAAAGGAACGGAAGGACTTTTTGGTGATGGAGCACTAAAAAAAAAGAACCAAAAAATGAAGAATTTTAGTGGTACCTGACATCGTTTTCTTTCATGGCGCAGTGAATTTCACTGCAGGAAAGCAGTCCTGGCTTTTTTTTGGCAGTTTTGTGTTGGTTTTATTTCTTTTTTAGAACCACCTGTCTTCTACTGCTTCTTTAATTTCTTTTTATTCTATAGTTTCCCTCAGAGCAAGATATTCTGCCTTTACATTATTAGTTGGGAGGAATCCTCTCTAGTAAATTCAGTTGCATTGATTCCATCTTGCCCCAAAGTAGGCACAGAGTTCAGTGTTCATTCCGAGAGGTAGGACTGCCATTTATTTTAGTCTCTTTCTTTTCCATGGTTTGGTGATACCAGGGAATCTTTCTCTTTATATCTGCAGCAATTCTGTCTCTGTAGTCTCATCCAACTTGAATTTCATTTATTTTTATTAGCTTAATAATGTTAAGTAGTATGCTTCTGTCTGAACACAGGCTCTTTAAAGAATAAAAGTAGTAGCAGTC